AACAGAGTAAAAAACATATGCTCAGCTAAGCAGTCCTGCTCATCTTGACCTATCATTGACTTGGCTGCTGTCTCTCCTATGAAGTGGCTCGACAGGCTGTCAGAACTGTGTGAAATCTCTCTCAGGAAGACATGGTTCCCCTCTGGCTATATGTTTTTCCTTCTCCCAACAAGAGATTCCTAGGGAAATTCCAGTTTCTTGGGCGGCCATTGTTTCAGTAGTCTAATAGCAAAAGAGAGGATCACTAGTGACCTGTTAGAGTATTCTCATTGCTGCCAAGTGTGTGGTTTGAGAATAACCTCCAGAGGCTCATAGATATGAATTTGCTTGGTCCTTGGTTGGTGGATCAGTTTGGGAAGGATTAGGAGGTGTGGCCTTTTAAAGGAGTTGTGTTATTGGAGGTGGACTTTGAGGTTTCAAAAGCCCAAACCAGGCCCAATCTCTCTCTCTCTCTCTCTCTCTCTCTCTCTCTCTCTCTCTCTCTCTCTCCTCTCTTCTCTCCCCCCCTCGTGTGGGGGTGTGTGCCTCTCTCTCTCTCTCTCTCCTCTCTTCTGCCTCCAACTTGTGGGTCAGGATGTAAGCTCATAGCTACTGCTCCAGTGCCATGACTGCCTGCCTCATGCCATGCTCACTGCCATGATGGTTATGGATTCACCCTCTGGAGCAAGTCCCCAATTAAATGTTTTCTTTTATAAGATGCCTTCGTCGTGATGTCTTTTTCCCCCTACCAATAAAAAAGTAACTAAGACACAAAGATAATGGCAAGGTGCAGTTTTTTTTTTTTACACAAATGAAACCACAAAATACACTGTCTGACCCCATTGCTGAGACATGTTGCATTGCATTGTGTATGTATGTCTCAAATAAAGAGGTCTCTAGCCTCAATTTAGAGTGCTCTAGGCAGGCCATGTTCCTTTCCTTTGAAAAAGTTAATTTATTATTTTTAACTTTCTCAGTTTTATGGATGTATAGTTAACAAATAAATTATACATATATAAAATTTGCTAAATGCAGCTGTGTAGTGATTTACAATGGAGCTGATTAACATAGCTATCACCTGACACGGTCACACCTGTGTACTGGGACCTCTGGTCTATGTAGTCCTATGTTCCTATGCTCACCTGGCTGAGCAATGGGTCTCTTGAGCGCCTTTATCTTAGAACTTCAGCTTGAGCCTGTCCATCAATCTCTTTCCCCTCCCCATGGCTTCCTGACCCTGGCAACCTTCTACTTTGTGCTGTGGGCATTTCATTTCTGTAGATTGTACACAGAAGTGAGGTCATGTGGTATTTGTCTTTCAGGGGCTGGGTGACTCACTGAGCACAATGTCCTCCAGGTTTGTCCATGCTGTCACAACTCAGGGAATTTCCTCCTCTTCAAGACTGAGTAATATTCCTGTGTATGAGTCACAGTTTCTTTATCCCTATGTCCATCAGCAGAACTTAGGATGACTCTCTGTCTTGACTCTTGTGAACCGCACTGTGATAAATGCACAGAACAGATGACACACGCCTGAAGAATGGTGTTGACTCTGATCTAGCATCACTGATGCAGCTGGTGGTCTTTTGGCTAATCACTGGGACTTAGGTCAAGGGTAGATTGATGTGAACGCAGCCTCTGGGGAAATGGGTGATGTGACTGTGCCCTGTACCACAGCCCAGTTGCAACGCCAAGCTCTGTCCCCAGATCCCAGGAGACTGGCTCCTGTCCCACAGAGCACCCTGTGCTAACACAATGAGAGCTTAAAAGGCTTCTGCAGATGTTGGCTTCCCTCGGAGCACCCATCCCTTAAAGAAGGGAGACTTCTCCAGAAAACTATGTAGAGACCTGTAAAACTACTGAAGAAAGGTAGAGAATCCCTCCTGCAAAAAACAACTTCATTGATTTTCCCAGATCCCCTTACTATCCGTATCTATCTATATACTCACAACTGCATTGAAAAATCTGGGGCTGGGTAGCTTTATAAAGAAAAGAGGCATCACTCTTTCACAGCTCTGGATGCACCTAGCTGGCCATTGCCTTCTTGGCAGAGTCCTAAAATGAGGGCTGGATATCATCTAAGAAGAGTGTGTTTTCTGTCTCTCTCCCTACTCTATAAAACCACCAGGACTCAATCCCCAGGCCCCACCCTGAAGGTGATACTTAATTGTAATCCCCAGGCAGGAGTCTGCCTCTATGTACCACAGTGAGATTAAGTTTTCTCTGTCTTAATAGCTCATAATGGGATCAAGTGTCACCACACTCAAACCAGAGTATCAGAAGCTGCCTGCACACTTGGATTCCTGCAGAGTTGGGAGAGCTGCATGCTCACCCCAGGGCAGACACCTGATAAAGAGAAGGAGGCTGAGGGAGAGAGAGCAAGCTGCGCATTTGGGAGGGAGTGGTGGGCCCTGGGGCTGCTGCAGAAGGTGAAAACCAGAGAGGAAAGGGAATTTATTCCACCATTGCTCTGCAGGGCCAACTCTTGGCCCCTTTTAAATGTTCCTGAAGGAAGAAAGCAGAGACTGAAATTGCTTGTGCCTGACTTTTGGTGGCTGCACCGAGTGTTCCTTTGAATATAACGCAGAGACAAGACCAGGCCTGTGGAGCCTTGGCACATGCCAGCCTTCTCTAGCACACAGCAGACCTCTTCCTAGAAGGGGGCTGGTATACATGCTATGTTCAACTCCAGTGCCCTTCCCACTTTCTCCTTGTTAGAAGTTCACAATTGTATTACCCAATTAGACTGTGGCCTCCTCTAGGGCCTTCCTGTTTTTCACCAACACCTTCCTCTCCCTCTCTGGGCATGTTAGTTGTCAGCATCATGGACCGCCCAAGGGGCAGTATCCAACTGTTGGAAGTTCATTTCTTTTTCACGTAGCTATGCACAGACTTGTGGAAGCCTCTGCAAAGCCCAAAACAAATTCCTCTCTAGAGCCCCGGATGAGTTCTTTAGCTGGTCTATTTTTGTATATGCAACATAGGAGGGAGGAAAGAGGTGGGGAGGGGAGCACTCCTTTCCTCTAAGGGCCAGCCCCAGAGTCCTACCTATTTCATAGCCTGTTATCCAAACTGAGGTCACATGGTAGACACACTCATCCACAGAGCAGGCTGGGAAATGCAGTTTTAGCTGTGTCACCAAGTGACCAACTGTTGTCTGCTCCCTGGAAGAGAGCTCTCATCCATCTCCCCAACCCATTTCCTTGATGTTCTCTCTGTCCTCTGAGTTTCCACACAAACCATACTAGTGTCAATCTCTTGCTCTACATAGCTTTTCTCTATTTCATATACCACAGCTTCACTTTTTTCACATGCTGAAGATGCTACTGGGGTCTTATGCAACACCAGGCAAAGGGTTTCCAACTGAGCCCCTGGTTTTTAGAGACAGTCCCTCATTATACAGCTGAGGCTGGTCTTGAACTCACAATCTCTCTGTCACCCTCTCCAAATGCTGGGCTTACAGGTGTGGCCCACTACACCAAGCTCATCTCCTAACTCCCATCTTGACAAGTGTACCATGCTTTGGATGGAGGGCTTTTTGTGTCATTTACTGCATAGCCACTGAGGGTTTTTGTCTGGCTGTTGTTGGTTTTGCTTGCTTGCTTCTCCCTCAGTTCTCAATGCTGGGGGTGGGGGTGGGGTGGGGCACTCAGACAATCGTTGCTGGCTTTAATGACTGAGATACTATGACTATCAGCAGAGCATAAGAGACCTTTGGAGAAACAGGCTGAGTTATACACAAACACCTCTGGCTTTCCCTCGTCTGAGTTGGTGACTCCGTCTCAGCCAAGGGCACCACACTTTGTTCCAGATGTTTGTTCTACCGCTATGGCTACAACCCTTTTAACCCCAGCATTCCTTTTGGCGGCCAGACTCTCAGAGATTAGTCCTATTATGTTTCCAGATGTGAATATATGTACTTGCCCGAGGGATATTTGCCTCAGGTATTAGTGACTGATTCTTCTAAATTAATTAGCTGTCAAGCAAATGATTTCAATCTCGAGTTTTGGATTGTGGAACCACTAGGGAATTGTTTTTAATATCCCTTTTGTCCTCCAGAGGCAAAGTACTCTGCATTGCTTTTTCAAGCCTCCGGTGGAAGCCTGCTCTCCATCTGGGCAGTTTTTCCCAAGCGCTTGGTCCCTCTTTTCCACTAACCCATAGGATTGTATGCTTAACCTTAATATCCAAAAGAGGACTGTTGAAAGGGAAACATGCCTTCGGACAGTTCCACTGTGCCAGCCAAAGCCACATCTTAAAAAGACACAGGAGTAGCATCAGCGTGAGTTTGGAAGCAGCCAACAGCTGCTCTGCCACTCTAGTCATACCTTTAGCAGAAGGGGAACTTGGGAAAGCCATTGAACCTCTTCGATCTTCCATTGCTCCATAAGGTTTTGGCCATGATATCTATCAGAACACAAGCCAATGGCTTTGACCTTTCCAATCACCACCCTAAATTACTAGGATGGAATCTTGGCTCCAGCTGGGTCATGCCTCCATCGATACTATCTCGGTCAGATTCTGTAACGTGGGGCTGGCTCTCCTTTCCAAAGTTGAAGTCAGTTCAAGGGCACACCTCAGTGGTTTCTGACCTGGAATCATTTTTCCCCCATTCTAAATCAGACCCATGTAGATAGGACTTAGCTCGGGGAACAGGGTCCCCTTCCTTCTTTTCCTCCTGGTCTGAGAAGAGAGTACAGCCTGGCTGGACACTCTGGTGTGACAGCACTACTCTGCTCCACAGAGTTAACAGAGGCTTAGGTACCCTGAAGCTCAACACCTGCCCCAGCTCAACCTCCACTCTCCCCCCAGGTGGGCAGCCCATGATTAGATCACCACCAATGGAGCCTTCCTCAAGTGTCCTTGCAGGCAGCCCTTCTTTTTGCTTCAATCCTAGGGCTCTGGGGTTCCTCTCACCTCTCTCTCTCTCTCTCTCTCTCTCTCTCTCTCTCTCTCTCTTCCTTTGAAATTCATCTCTACTCTATAACATAAGAATCTTATGATGAAAAATCCACAGTAAATATGGTGAAAGTAATATATTTATTTGATCAGATACTTTTTTTAAAAAAAAGAAAAATTTTCCATGACAAGAAACTCGAAGGTAAAGAAAATAGAAGTGTGGGAAACAGCAACTATCAGCAGGTCAGAGCTTAGAGCTGCTACCAAAACTCTACCCATGCTCTAGTACCGACTCTAACATGGTACAATATTTGCGTACAGCCTGTGCACACAATCCTGTATGCTTTAATCATGGCTCCATTACTTAAAAGACCTAATGTAAACTCTGTGCAGATAGTTGTTCTACTGTATTGTTCAGGGAATGATGCCAAGAAATAAAAAGCTTGCATATGCTTGATCCATTATATTTTTCTGGATATTTTCAGACAGCTGTCCATAGTTAAAGCCACAGATGCAGAATCACCGCACTCGGGCTGATTGTAATTTGTTACAGAGATTCCCATGTGTTTTTTAGCATACCTGACCCCCTTCCATAAATGTCTTTGCAAAATGGAAACGATTCCTGGGAGTTATAACTCAGAAATCTCAGGGTGGGAGCTGCAGTTGGTCCCTTTCTAACCTGCCCCCAGCAATCAATGCCTGTGGGTCAACTTTAGAGTTGGGACTGAAGCCCTATTCACCTGAGAACCTGGAGGAGCCCTGCCAGGCTCAGGAGACCATTGTCAGGGTTGAAAAAGGTGCCAGACACCACCTTTTAGGTGAGATATGGTCAGCACCAGGAGGAGGTGTGTTTGTTAGATGTACTGAGCAGGGAGCGCATGCTGGCTTATTGCAGGGAAATTCTAAACTTTCCTAGATCTATAGCCAAACTGTGCCTGGCTTCAGGCCTGCTCAGAATGGGACTTGCTTTACAGACAGCTCTTTCAGAGTACTTATCTGCAAGTAGAGGCGATTTGCACCGAATGAGATTTCTGTTGTTTTGAATTCTGTTCTTAATTGTGTCTTCTTTCTTCTCCCTTTCAAAGGATCCTTGCACTCCAGAGGTTTGAGAGCCAATGGCTGGAAGATTTGGAGCCACCCTCCCCCAGTCCGGCAGGGCTCAATTGGCAACAGCAGCCTTTCAGGTTCTCCACCGAATATAGGGCTGGAAAATTGCCTTGGGGAGCCCTGCCAGGGCCCCTGGCCAATGGAAACAGCATTCCCTGTCACAGGCTCTGGAGTGTGCAAAAGAGGCAGAGAGAAAGTCAGAGGCTTTGTTTGGCTCCCAAGAGAGGCAGGGGTCCTGCACTCAACTCAGTAACTGAGTGGCTACTGGCCAGCTGCCTTTGGGAAGTAAGGGAGTTATTTCAGCATGGCCCTTTGTGGTCCTGAATTACAGGGACTGGAAATTAAAGCTCTAAGTGGAGCCTCAAACCACAGGGAGCGGGGTCGAAGGCCTGCCGGCCTCCTGGCACAGTGCCCCGATGCTTGCAGGACTTGATAAGGCTCGCTAACATTTAGGCGAGGGTAATAAAACGTGAACAAGATGGAGATGGATGCGCCACAGGGGCAGGGAGAAATCCTGGAGCAGATGCGCCTGGAACTAATGGTATGATGAGAACCAAACTGATGCTCGGCACAGCGATGGCAGCAGAGGTGTAGGCTCTGGACAACTGCTGTGTGGCTAGGGAGGAGCCTCCTGAGGGTGGGGGAAGGGTGGGAGCCTGTGCTTGCCTTCGCCACACCTTGCCATGCCACAGAACTCCTTTGGCCGATCTTGGGGATGCAACTACGAGAAATTCATGCAGCCCAAAGCTCTGCTAGTCAGTCAACATCCATTCCAAACATTCGAAAGCTCGCTTCCTCCTCCTCCTCCCTCTCCATCCTTCATCCTTTATCTCCTCTTCATCCTCTTGCTGTTTTCCGCCATCAGCTCTTTCTGCAGAAAGAGAAGAAACCCAAGAAACCGGGTCACTGAAAAGGAGAGGGAAGATTGCCGTATTCCACCAGGTCACTTCACAGCAGGATTCATGCCCCAGAGTGAGCATATGCTGCTGTGGACGGGCAGCCTGGGAGCTGCTCAGACTCTAACAGCAGAGATGCCCTAGCAGGCTGGCAATTGGGTTTCTAAAAGGATTACTTATATTAAAGAAGACAACAAAACGAGAAAGGCACCATTTTTGTGACTTTAACAAAATACCAACCCGGAAAAATGATACCAAAATGCAAATTCCATTGAGAGCAGAGCCCATGGTGGAAAACACGTGCAAAGAAATAGAGTTCTTGGATTTGGCCTTGAATATCTGGGCTTGGTTCCTGACTGAGCTACAACCTTAGCAACTACACCCATCTCTGAACACTTACCTTCCCTCCACAGATGTTCCCTGATCTGTACCCACACCAGCTACTTTGCCAAAGAGTCTTTGATTATTTTGATGGCGAATGACTCTTTAACTGCACCCTGGGTATGGGGGTTTTCCTTGCTAGGCAGTTAAGAGTGCTTGTGGAAAAATTCAGTTTCCAGAACCCACATCGGGGTAGCTCACTGGCAGGTTCTGGGATTGGGCCAGCATCTCCCCGAGGCATCTTTCTGCATACTGTGGCTCCTGCCTTTGTCAGCTAACTGCTACTGCTTTCCATGCCTCCTCCTCCTCCTATGTGGAACCAGTGCAGGTTCCCAGATGAAGCTCACTGTTTTCCTGAGACCTGGGAACTAGTGGTGGGAAATTTTTCTCCTAATTATCTCTGATGAGGCCAAAGATCCCATGAGACCACCAGCCTTGGAAGGAAGGGTAGCATTGTCAGTGCTCTAATTTTTTTTTTTCGTAGTCACAATCTGCTTCCATTCTCCCTAGGAGAAGTATAGCAAGGTGGGCGGGGGGAGGGGCTCATTTAATCTGAAATGGGATATTTTTTCTCAAGTAAACATGCTTATGAAACCCTTGGGATCAGATATCCTGGATCCCCTAGGACTGAGCCCAGTGCTGCAGAGTGGCTGGGGAGAGCTAGTTAGGATGTTAAGGACCAGGAAGTCATTCTTTACGTTCCCCAGCTTGAAACCTGGCTGTATACTGAGCAGAATTGATAATGAAGCTCTCTGGACTCTTCTGCAAGGCAAAAACTAAGTTTTAAAAACACGCAAGTGGATGCATCTATGTCCCCTTCCTTTGGTTGTGCTAGTAGCACAAGTGTCGAAGACCCGCCTTGCTGCAGTGTCTTGTTTTCCATCCTAGTTAGGTCCTGTACCTCGCACTTGTATCTGAGGCCCCAGTGGGTCTTCAGTGCCTTGAGACCCAAGATGTTAGGGACCTTGGGGACTCTATGCATAAGGTTCTACTAATAATATAGAGTGTATGTGTGGGGGGCGGGGGTTGGAGAGCCCTGGTGTATGGACCTCAAATTCAGCTCATTGCCCCCACATCAAACTCTTCTTATTGAAGCCATGACTCTACGTGGATTTCCCCTTCATCCCCTCCCCTTCCGTCTCCTCCTCGCCTCTCCTTTCCCATTTCCTCCTCTCCTTTCTTCACTCCTCCCTTTCCCTTTCTCTCATCTTCTGTTCTTTCTCTTCTGTTCTCTTCTCCACTCTTTACCCCTCCCTTCCCATTTCCTCCTCTCTCCTTTTCTTTTCCTTTCCTCTTCCCATTTTCCCATTCCTTTTGACATACAGAATGAGCTGAGAGGAACAGCCAATGAGTGGGAGATGTTTTACCTTCTTAGCTTAGGTTCTTTCTGCTCTCCCCCTCTCTCCTTGCCACGCTGACTACCTTTGTTCCTATGTCTTCTCCTATCTTGCCTGTCCTTTCCTTTTCTGTCCCCCTTTGTCTGTCTCCTATGTCTTTGACTCACTGTTCTCTCCATCTCTTCCCTCTCTCCCTCTTTCCCTCCCTCCCTCCATAGTCTTTCTTTTTTTTCCCCTGACCTCTTCTGGCTATAAACAGCCTCAGAGCCATGTCAGACTCTGCCTTTCCTTTCCCTCTGTGATGAACTATGTTCAGTATTTTGACTTTTCAGAAACCAGAGTGACTGAGCCTATGTCCCCCTCAGCACTGGTACATACATTTTCTTCTTTATAGATTGCCTTCTTTCCCTTGAACAATTCTTCCTGGAAACAGAGTGCATGTGTAAGCCTGGATAGAAATGAGGCCAGAAAACAATAAATGATAGTTTGTTGTTTCCTTTTAAATTTTAATGAGCATTTTCACCTCTAGAATAGTCTCTCTAAGAGCCCAAGTGTTCATTCCAGGAACTCGATTTGGGAAAACTTTAGGCATGCCTTATATGTTCAGGGGTAACCGCCCTCCCAACCCCCGCCTCCCACTGACAAATATTTATCCTTGCCTAACATTTTATTTTGGTCCGTGATTCAATCCAATGCCATACACAATCAAGAAGATGAACATGTCTGTCAGATTCCCTTCACTGTGACAACTGAACAGATGACTCACAGGAAGAAACAGTTACTTTGGCTTTCAGCTTTGGATGATTCAGTGTGTGGTCACATGTCCTGCTTCCTGTGCGGTGGAGTAAGAAGCCTACCTCATGATATCAAGGAGGAAGACAGGAAAGGTTGGAGTCCCAGTGACACTCTAAAGGCACATCCCAAGTGACCCAACTTCATTCCACTAGTCCTCACCTCTAAGGGCTCCACCACTCCCAATGGACACCATGGGCTGGCATCAAGGCTCATACTAGGGCAATGAAGATAAGATCCTAGACCTGGAAAATGGTTCAGTCAGTAAAGGACCCGAGTTACAATTTCAAAAACCCCCATAAAAAGTCAAGTGTATAAGCATGTGTTTGTAACCTCAGCATTGGTAGGGCAGAAACAGGAGCCATCCACAGAATGTTATCAATAGTCAGTCTAGTCAATCGGTGAGCTCTAGGTTTGATTAGAGACCCTATCTCTTACCAAAGAGTATGTGTGTTGTTTCTTTTTCTTTTCTTTCTTTTTTTTTTTTTTTGTAACTCAGTTGTGTGGTTCTCAAGTGTGAACTTTGTAGATGACATCATGCCACAATTTTATAAGGTTGACCACCTGTAGATGGCTGGGATATACACTGTGATGTGAGCACTTGACAAATAGCTGCTACACATCATTGCTTAGTGAATAGTGACCAGACAGCTGTATGCCTTCAAAACACCTAGAAGTTTCCGGCAGTGTGCATGGGGTTTGGTAGTACTCCCTTTTCAGACACATGGGAAACATTTCAGAATGCATCCTTCTGGATTTACAAAACAGACGAGAGGGCTGTGAAGTGCCCACAAAGCGGGCTCTAACCTCTAAGACAGTAGAGCCAGGCTACGACATTATCTGTAATGATACAAACAATGGCAATAAAAATGAAATGTAGATGAACCCTCTGTCTACTGGCAGGCTGAGTCCTCACAGGTGTGGAGTTCTGTATCACTAGAAGAGAAGTGAACCGGGTCATGGGTTAGCTGCTGCCAGACTGCTGTGAAAAGCAGTGCCATATGGAAAGGGGAAAGGCACTGTGGAGATTAAGTCTGGGATGCATAAAAGTCATTCATTTAGAACTTCCTCCCTTTACTTTGTAATAGATTCCTATGCAAGGCAAGTTTTAGCACAGGTAGGTCATGAGGATTCTCTGAGGCAGGGAAAGCATTGAAGTCCTCAAGTCTCCTCCCCAGCAACACCATCCTGAGGCCTGAAGTCTCAAAGCAAGCACTTACAGTTCCCCTGTAAGAGATAAGGATAGCAATGCAAGGCTAAGGGGACAATAGCAATACTTTAAAATTGCACTGAGTTACTCGTGATTGACATCAAGTATTTCCAAGAAGCAGAGGCCACAGAAGATGAGGGTCACCATGGAGACATGACAGTAGAAAGAATGTCTTTCAGGCTGTTCTACTCTGAGCTGTCATGCCTTCAGGGCCCCTCTAATGGCTATTTAAAAATACCACGTTTTTAGATGACAGAAGGTTTCCAGTGTTTCATAGACAATTTAAAACCTCCACGGATCATTGGAAGTTACTGGGAATTTTTTTTAGTTAGGGTTTTATTGCTGTGAAGAGACACCATGACTATACCAGCTCTCATAAAGGAAAACATTTAATTGGGGTTTGCTTACAGTTTGAAGGTTTAGTCTCTTATTGTTGTGGTGGGAAGCATTGGTGTCATGCAGGCAGACATGGTGCTGGAGAGAGAGTACATTCCAAAGCTGAGTACGGCCTAAACAACCTCTGAGTATCAGTAATTTCACAGAATGAGATTCCCCTGTTCTATCTCAATAAAATGAAAGTTAGGCCTCTCCTGGAAGAATGCCCCAGACTCTCTCCTTCTCCCCAGGCAGGCATTGTCATGTGACTTTCAATATGCTCACATATTTGGCACCCATTTCACCTGGTGAGCCTCTAAGGGTGGTGAGCTTCCCAGAGAAGGGGAATTGGTAGGGAAGTAGGAAACAGACAGACAAAAAAATGCAGTTCAGGCACCTGCCTTAGACAGTGAGAGAAACTTAGCTTCGCCTCTAGAATGGAAGAGAGTTGTGAAGGGAGCTAGATAGCTCTGGTGGCCAGGGGCCACTCTGGGACAGGGAGAAGAACAATAATTGCAGAAAAGTGTTCATTGGGGCCTCTGAAGGAGTTTGGGAACATGGATGTCTCCTATTCAATTGATGTTTGCTTGTCAGTATTGACTTGGTACATGGTGTAATTTGTCTCTCACAAATCCACAGTGGGGTTTGGGGCTCACACAATCACCACTGTCCTCCAGGCTCCAAGTTGTAAGCAACAGAAACTGAGAAGCAAGTGACTGCACCTCTGATGCCAGGGGGCTGAGAGGGTCTCTTGGAGTTGGGAACTGGGTTGGTACTTGCACACTGATGGTCTTGGATGCATAGGATCCTAAAGCCTTTCAGCTTTTATCACGGAAGGATAGCAGTTCATTGATTTGCTAAAAGTCATACTTGAAATATCACATTTTGATAGTTTCCTGCACTAGTGAAACTTTGACTGATCTTTGCTCACAATGTGGAGTGCCAGTGACAGCCTCAGCACCAGTCAGTCTCTGCCATAGGCCTATATAACTAGCTCCACAATGTGTTTTGAGCCAGGATGCTCTGTATTGTTAGTAGATGCCATTTTGAAGGACACTTTGAGTGGATCAGTTTGATAGGGCATAACTCCATCCTAGTTCAAAGATGTGTTGACAGATGTGTTGTCTTTTCATGGTGGTCATGCTTAAGCCACCCCAAGAACAGGCCCAGTGGAGCCTACATTACAGTCACCTCTGACACAGATGCCACCGTTTGTACTGCTAGCCCCTCTGAAGTGGCCATAGGACATTGTCTCAAGGCCCTTCCAGCATTGCTGCCTGATATGAGATGCCAGCACCACCATCTTTCCAGCCTCTGACTCAGGCCCATGTAAGTGCATCCCAGGATCCAGTAGCAAGGCAGGCTGGGAAAGTGACCCCCCCCTTAGATTTGCAAGCTTTTTAAGGTCTCTTTTAAAGGAAGGTTGTACCAACATTCATGACAACTGTCTCTTCTGTGACTCTACAGAGGAAGTCATGGTTTTGGCTTGGTTAATGGAGAGCAGATTTGGTAATCTATAGTGTATGAACTAGAGAAGAGGCAAGTCCTGATGCCACCCTAATTCTCTTGTAGAAGTCTTGAGGGTGGGTGTGGACATCCAAGATTGTAGAATTAGAGGACTGACCTATTCTTACCTAGATATCACGGAGTAGGTGGGCTCCAGATATGGTAATATGGTCATTTTTCCCCAAAAGAAAATTCCTTAATGCTTCCTTTTGAAAAGAAAGAAAACTTATAGTTGGAGAGAGGGATCAGTGGTTAAGAATGCAGACTAATGGACTTGAGTTTGGTTCCCAGCACCTATACTTGGCAGCTCACAACCATCTGTAACTCCAGTTCCAGGGCATTTGACACCTTTGTTTGACTCTTTGGGTACCTGTACTCACAGGTGCACACACATACCTTATACAATTTTTAAAAAAGAAAACTAGGGAAAACTATTCCAGGCTATAGATAAATAGGAACTCCACCTGTGGTCTCAGGACCAGAGTCCATTCCTTTCTGACTGTGGCTGCTGGCAAGCCACATGGCTCCTCTGGGCTGTTAAGTGAAGGACTCTACTCTAGAGGAATCCTATGTAATATTTTGTACCAACTGTTCTCAGGATAAGCCACTGACATTTTTTTTGTTGTGACAATTTAATGCATACAACATTGTGTGATAAAATACATACAAATAGTTATTGTAATGAAGCAAACACACAGCCATCATTAATACAGTGACTCACTCTTTCCCAAATGTATGAATGGAACAGCTATAAACATTCCCTGGAGCAGTATTTCTTCATTACACTCAAAATTATTTGCTAAATTCTGTGTTTTGAGCATTAGATACCTAGACCTTTTTCCCCTCTGAGTCTGCTTCTTTGCATCTTTTGATTATTTATAACTTCCAATAGTCTACCTTCAGGATAAGCATTGGTAATCCCAGTTTTATTTTTAATTTATAAGCCACTGATTTTAGGGCACATTTTTCCTATGATTTATTTGAGATAAAATTGACATAAAGTACAAATAATTGACATAAAGTACAAATATAAGATGTACAGTTGTCAACATTTTACAAATGAATGCTACTGGTAGTTAATGTCTGTAACAGTGGTGTCCAGATTTTTTACTCCTCAAGCAAGGAATTGAATAAGCTCACACAGATTGTGAAGCAGCAAGGAAATACTATGCTAAAACAAAGTCATAATATAGATCAGATAAATACTGTCAAGAGTGACAGCCAGCCACATGAGCAAAAGTGTTCCCAAGGGCCCCAGGTTACTGCATGGTGTTTCCTTCATGGGGTCTAAAGGAAGGATGGGATGGTTGCTAGGGGCCAAAAGTCAGGTGGTTCTCTATTTTTGTTAATAGAGCTGAGTTATATAACCCTTTGCTTACTATACATGTGCTTTCCCATAATGCATCTTATTTTAGTCTTATGCATGTCCAGTTATACAAAGCCATAACTATTATGCATATGAAAGTTATGTATGGTAGACAGACACAGTAGACACAGTTTGCATTACTGTGCATATACCGCAAGCTAATCTAGACCTTTTCTTTTCTTTTCTTTTTTTCGAGACAGGGTTTCTCTGTGGCTTTGGAGGCTGACCTGGAACTAGCTCTTGTAGACCTGGCTGGTCTCAAACGCACAGAGATCCACCTGCCTCTGCCTCCTGAATGCTGGGATTAAAGGGGTGCGCCACCACCGCCCAGCGTATGGCCCCATTCTTGTACATGGATATAAC